CTTCATCATCATCATCATCATCAATATCAACATCAACATCAATATTATCATCAGCAGCAGCTGCACCACCACCACCACCACCACCACCACCACCGCCACCGCCACCGCCACCGCCACCACCACCAGCAGCAGCAGCAGCAGCCACACCACCACCGCCACCACCAACAACCACAACAACACCATTGTGCCTACCCTCATCATCATCCGTTATCACCCGTCATCATCCACCATGATCCATCCTCGTCACTGTCGTCATCATCATCATCATCGTCATCATCATCACCACCATCATCATCATAAGCGTTGTCATCGACATCCCTGTACTTTTGCACGCACCCAAAAAACACTTTCCTGCTCAGCCTCGTGACCCGATTCGGGCTTGTTTGCCACACGATTGGATGTGTTGACAGAAAGGCTTAAAACTGGCATATGCCCTTGATTGGGGCTCGACCAGATGACACGACGCAAAACTCTGAGCCCGCACCTGAGAAATGCCACTCCCCAGCTTGACTCCTCTGATCTGAACCCTCGAACCCAACACCTCAAACAATGAAGATCGGCAAACACCCTCGATTTTAATGGACACATCTTGGCAAATCAGGACCTGCCTGGCGGAACTGGTACAGTAGCTTCTGCCCATATTCCGACAGTTCCCGCGCCTGCGATTGCTTCAAGGTGTTCTACCACACGTTTCTGCAAATAGAAATCTGCCTCCGTCTCCATACCAGAGACGCCCTCCTCGTGCATCAAGGTCCAAAGCTTTCCTCGCATCTCAGCAATTAGAAGACTGATACTGCAGAGCCAGGCAGCAGTCTCAGTCAACTTTGTGCAGCGTCCTTCACTGAAGATCAACTCATACAGAAAGCCAGGAAACTTTCCATCTCTTCAAGCTTCTGCTTGGGCTCCTCCACTTCCAGCTTCTCGAACTGCGCGGAAGGATTGCACAGAGATGCGTCGAAACTGGACAGAACGTGGGACCCTCGCACACGAGGGGCACAACAGGACTTTGAGCCGTCTATCGGCGGTGTGAGCCCTCAATCCACACCTGAACCACGAACCGCAAAAAGCCTCGAAAATCACAGCTACTCATCCCCCAGTCCTACACCCACAATGCCTACAGACTCCACATTACTGCATAAGGACGCACAAGCTCAGATCAAGTCGCAACCTGATTAATACATGGAGACGTCAGGCCAGGATCGGGACGCTGGTACATTATGATCATTATTCATGCCAATATACTGTTTATTGCGATACTGACGATCACTGCTTGTTCATGTCTACGTACGGTTGTTCATACTGCTCACTGATTTTTGCGAACACTGTGAAGATGATCACTGCTAATTGTACTGATTGCAGTTTTGCTGTAGTTCCTGAAATTGTTGATGTTGTTGCTACTGTTGTCGTTTGCTGCTGTTGTTGGTCACAGTGCTTGTAAACGGGCTGGGGTTTGGAGTTGATGTTGCAGCTGGAAGATTGTAAGTGTACTCACACGAAAGGAACGACAAAGACCAACTCAAAGGAACGACAAAGACTAACAGATACAGAAACACAGAATATATGCAGCTTCAAGCACAAGTATTGCAAACAACACACAACAAGCGACGCTACACAACACTCAATAAACACGTCAGTAGAGTAATAACATTTCACATACGAACACAACATCAACAGCAGCATCCAACAATACTATGTATGGCCATAGTGACCATTATCAATTATCCACCTGTTCAATTACATACTGTACCCGCCCGCTTGCGAATGATTCGATGGATTATTGCTGTTGCTAACAATCCATTTCCGATTACATTACACTCATATAAGATATTTGACACCGTGACACCTCAATTAATGATGGCGGCCAAGCTTCTTGAAAGATATGGAAATTCGGCATTAAACAATACATCCCTTTCGGTCCAAAACTTTGTGGATTTCGGTTTGTGCAATGTATCACTGACTCATGAAATGTTTAACTAGGCATTTGATATTGTACATATCAAAAGCTTGTTAAAATAGACCTAAAGGTATCGGGCTCATATGTGTATGTATATATAATAATAACATACATACCACATATCCATATACATACACATACATCATGTATACATATATCATATATATATATATGTATATATATATATGTATATATATATATGTGTGTGTACACACACATACACGTATCTACAATAAAGTATACAGATTCCACTGATGTATACATCGTGTTGTATGTTGCAAGATGTGCATATATATGTATATATATGTATACATAGAGTACAAGAAAGTGTGTATGTGTATGTGTACATATATACACGTATGTATATGAAGAGTGTGTATATAGTAATATAGATGTAATGTATATGCAGTTTTTCCATACAGTGGGACTTTTCTTTCTCTCTCCAAACATAACCTATACACTCACACTCACTCTAAGCCCGCGCGCCAGGGACGCTGTGGACGCCAGGGATGCTGGGCACGCCGGGGAGGCTGGGGACGACCGCAGGGACGTTGGGGATGCCAGGGATGCTGCGGCCGTTAGGGACGCTGGGGCCGGGCATTGTGGGCACGTATTAGCTTGATTGAAGCGAATAAGCCCCACGCCGGCATTTCAGGTTCTTCCCAATCGTCTTCTTTCTTCTTGCGAAAGAAGCGGTGAGCCTCAGTCGAGACAACACACATATCGCAATCTGGCTTTCAAGAGTCCAACTGCTCGGCATGTGCCGTACAAGCATGATGCCCTATGTAATGCCAGCTTTCCGAGAACGCATTGACTACGGGCGGCGACTGTCTCGAGGAATTTGGTTGACATCTGTTGTAGAAACAAAGGCCCTCACAAAGAGAAACTGCGACTTGTCATGCGCTGAAGCAACGTGCATCAGGTACCACTGCCAAAAGCCATGTAACATCCGCATGCAAACAGCGCTGAATACTGGAACCCGGCCCACATGAACTTTTTCAGAAAGTGATATGCGCTGTTGCTCGGTGCCTCCTCTTTTTCCCTACTGCATTTGGAGCTGCTGCTCCTCTTTCTGAGCCATAAATCTGCACGAAGTTCTTTGCTCCTCTTCCGCAGATTCTCGAGTCCCTGTCGATCCTTCTCAACTTCTCGAATCCCCTTCGAACAAGTCATCAACCCAACTTCCAGAGTCCTTGTGACTTTCCAGCAGCTTGCCCCCCGTTCTAAACTTTCACGAGTTCATTTCTGTCGGCATGTTCCCTTCCCCACGTCCTGTTCCAAGGTCTTGCTTCTTTCCCTTGTGCGATGACCGGTGCCTTGCTCTAGTTGCTACAGCTTCTCGAATTGTCGAACCATTTTCGCCTCCTCTCAACTTTTCGAGTCCCTTCGGGCAGTGCCACCCTTCATCAACTTCCTTCTCATTGAAACAGTATTGAAATCTGTCAACAGTTCTCAAATCCTTTGAATCGCTCTGCCCACTAGTCTGAAATTCGCTGGTCCCTTTCCTGCGGTTTGTTTTTTCGAGCCCTTTTCTCAACGACCTTTCGGGCATCCCGTTTGACCGGTTCGCTGCTCCGGTTGCTTTCGTGCGGTTTCGGAGCGGCTCGCGACTTCTCCAACTCGTTTCCACTCAACTCTCAAAAACACAGTTCTCCTCTTTCTCAACTTCTCACTCTTGGCGGTCTGCTGCTCTCTTCCCACATTCTGCAACGAAACTTTTAGAGCATTTGCTCCTCTTTCCAACTGCTCCAGTTGCTTTGCCGAAGTTTGGTCTCTGCTCAAACTCACTAGTTTCTCAAACTCTCATGTCCACTCGGTAAATGTTCAAGTCCCCTTCCTCTTTTTTCACTTTATCTGCTCCCCTTTGAATGGCTGCTCCTGCTTCACAAATGTTATTGGCCTGTCGAGTGGCTTGCTCTTCTTTGTCAAATGCTCCAACCGGTCGCATGCCCTGATCCAGTTTCTCGACTTCTTTGATCCTGCATGCAGTTTGCAGTTTGCAACTCTTTTTGCTCTGCTTACTTAGCTTCTTCTGTGAACTCTCTACTGTCTTTCGAGCGGCTGGTTCCATGACGCAACCTCTCATCTCTTTCCACCGGATTTCTCCTCTTTCTCAACTTCTCCAGCCTCTTTCGAGCAGAACAATCTGCGGCTCTTTAGCAACTTCTCTTATGCATTTCGAACGGTTCGCTTCTTGCTGTCAGTAGAGAATTCCTGCTTCTCAGCTTCTCTTAAGCACTTTTGGCAACTTCACATCGTCCGGCTTGATCCTCTGTCGCTCAGCTTAGTTTCTTATCAAGCCGTCTGATCCACTGTAGCCCCGTCCAAAACTTTACCTTAATCGCTTCCGAACGGGTTGCTGACGTCTCTCAACTTCCCCAATCCGTTTCAGGCGGTTTCGGTTCCTTCGTCAACTGCTTCGTAACTCGCAACTTCTAATCCCTTTCCAACGGCTTGCTCTCTTTTCTTAATTGCTCCAGTCCTGCTCACACGGCCGCCGGAGTCGTTTTCGATTCTTTCTCGCTCCAATCCGCTTGGAGCCTCTCCGCTTGAAAAGCTCTACTCCGCCTCGAGCTCAAATGCTCGCTTTCTGTAGAGTAGTTGTGTTCCACTAAGTCGTTTCACAAAGTCGTGACTACCCCGAGCCTCTCGCTGTGGTGGAATCACAGGGAAGCGGAAAAGAATCAGTAACACTACTCTGGCTGCAATACTATTTACAATTTACTATATCACCTCGCACTGCTTGTTACCAATGTCTCTGCCCAGGGCACTGAATCCTGGGTCGGCCGTGTGATGACGTTGAAATTCTCCTCAGGACTCGGGGCATCCTTTGGACTTGTCGATGGGGTAGGCCTAGGCTTCAACGTTCCTTCAATAAGAACCGGAGCCCCTACCCACAGCACTTCGAGAACACACTTGGGTCCTCGTCGTCCTCCTCATCGACCAACTCCACCTTCTTCCTTCGACGAAGACGTTCGTAGAACGTTGGCAGAAAGTGTTCTGCGGCCGGCGCAGCAGGAGGGAGAACCGGGCCTACGATACTTTACTAGTAGCTGGATTTGGGCGTGCAGCAAAACGTGACTGTGCACATATCCTGCTCCTTGTGGAGGCTTCGAGTTGCTCGGGAAAGTGGCAGCCCGGACGCCCCTTCGGCACCCACAGAAATCCTCCCAAATCCCTCTATGGTGCCTTGCATCATATCGCCGTCGCACATGTCCTCCACGGCAGCTGAAAGCTCTGCCTCCGTGACTTGCTGCATCGCCGCCACCAACTGGCCGGGGTCCATCTTTGAGCTTCGGGGCTCCGGGGCTCCCCACACCTCTGGGGCAAAAAATAGCCAAAAAACAACGGATCTCGACTCTTCCTTGGGTTTCTGGCCTCGCCTCGGCTCGGGCACATCTTAGCGCCTAGGCCTAGGCCACCCAGCGTTGCCCGACGTCCCTCAAGCTGTCATCCGAACTCTGCTGCACAAAACTTTGCTCAGCACTGTCAGCTCAAATCGACCCAAGTACTGAGTCGTGACTGTGACGCCTCCAATCTGCAGCCTTGCTCTAAGGAAGCATGCTACATGACGCTTATTTCGCCTAAACCCTTGCCGCGCATGACTTGGCAACCACAGCTCTGAACCGCCTTTTTGTACAGCACCTTCTCATCCGCGCTGCCCACACCTGCCAAGGGCCACCGGGACGCCGGCTCGAAGGCCGGCTCCAAGGTTCAAACTCCACTGCCAGAAGCTCGGACTCCACACACACACACACACACAAGGTTTCTTGTGGGATTTGGGCTACAGCAAGAGGCAAACAGAGAAGAGGGGTGAGGCGAGGTTGCTGTTCGTTGTTGCATGCAAGCGACGGCTGCTGTAAACTGTCTTGGAAACAACAGCGAAGATAATCAATGCACAACGAAGATGCTTTTCCATGTTCTTCATCACTTGGCAGGTACACAAAGATGCGTCCATGCTTGCTTGATAAGCACTAACTGGGCGTCTTCGTTGGCTCTGGTCCCAGTTAGGCTCCCAGAGCCCCCCGCAGTGCGAAACGGCAGACAAATGCAGGAGTGGCCCTCATTTCCCATGTGCTAGGTTCACGCTCACAGCACAAATATGGGGCCGGCTTCAATCGAGCAATGACACCGTATTTCACTGCAGGTTGCAAGGTCGCTGCTGTGTTCATGTATTTCGGGTCAAATGAAACGTCCATCTTGAAATGCTCGATATGTCGCGAAGCTTCGCCCAAAACGGTTACATGTACATTCCGCCGCATCGGTCGAGTGGGATCTTCGAAGGCTGTACAATTCATCGTTGAGCTGGAAGCACAATTGCTCTTGCGTCATCAACGATGGCATTGATAGGTACATTGATGCCAAAAGCCGCGATGCCTGGCCTCTGTGTGTTGTCAATCCACATGCTGTGAATGCCTTCCTGGTGCTGTGCGGTTTGGTGTTCAGCACGCTCAGGCAGTTGGGCCGTGGTGGCATCCCCATAAATGGCTGTAACAGGATACTTAACAAAGTCAAAAAAAAGCTGCGAAGTTAGCTGCATGACACACGTGCTAAGGCATATTGTGCTCGGATCCGCACGGGTGTTTTGCTGCGAGATCACGGATGGGTCTGTGCAGCCGGCCTTCTCATAGAGTCGACGCATGGCTCGCGTGGGGTCATGTGCTCTAGCGCAGGGTGCACAGACTCGCTGTATGAGTCGCGTGCGTGCAGCAGGACCTTTGCTGGATTCACTCCTTAGGGTTTTCGGGTTGGGCAAAAAATTCTCGCTGTCCGGATAGCCGGTATAGCATGGTCAGCCCCAACCCGATTTCTGAGCCCCGCCATCCACCCTGCAGGTCCACCACGGCGCCATGACGGAAAGCCGCTGCTCTCCGGGACCCTACGCTCCACACTTGTGGGATTTCGGCAAGAGCAAGAGGCAAGCAGAGAAGAGGGGTGAGGCGGGGTTGTTGTTCCTTGTTTCACACAAGCCACGGCTGCTGCAAACAAAATGCCCAAGAAACAACAGCGAGGATAATCAATGTACAGCGACAATGCTAGATGCTGTTTTCCGTTCAGTATCAGGGTGGGACAGCTCTGGAGTGACACTCTTTTTCCCATGTGCTAAGGAAGTTCACTCACTCACTCACTCACTCACTCACTCACTCACTCACTCACTCACTCACTCACACACAAACACACAAACACACACGCACACAGACACACATACACACACACACAGACAGACAGA